GGGGGGGGGGGGGGGGGGGGGGGGGGCAACAGGTGGGCAGATGGAGGTGCTACCCCAAATCTCTGGGGATGACTGGGAAGCCCGACGGTACCAACGGGAGCACGGTCACCTGACCTGGGCCGCCGTGGGGGAGGGGGCTGTTCCCGAGACAGGAAGATAACATCGGCTGTTCCCGTGCCACAGACAGGAAGCGGAGGAAACGGCAGCACATATGGTACACATTCTCAGGAACAGAGCGGGCCGGCAGGCCTCCGACGGCCACGCAGCTCACAGTAGGCCTCGTTTAATCTACCCGTTTAATCGAAGGAATATAATGCATAATATGAGTCACTATTCAGTGAGTAAATGTTTACTGGAACTATGCGGGTTTAGCCTACTCTCAAGCATATGACAGCAGGGGTCCGCGGGGATCACAAGGCCGCGTCTCCAGCTCACTCACACACTGGTCGCTGGTCTCGGGGATGAACTCGCCCTCGCTGTTGATGCTGGTGTAGGAGCCCTGACGGGCGATACGTTGTTGCCGCTCGGGGACGTATCCGGGCGGGGGTGAGCTGCGGCCCGTGTTCTGGGAGCCTGCGGAGATGGGGGGGGGGGGGGGGCGGGGTTCGGTCAGGATCACCACTCATGCCGCAGCCATAACCGCAAGGTCTGAGGCTCTATGAACGTACGTGGCTGCATCCCACAGACTGCAAGAGCAGGACTGCAGACTGTAGGACTACAGACAGGATGAAGGAATCGGCAGGGGAAATGTAAAAACGTAACAAAAATAAAACCTGAATGCAAGCTTTAGATTCATAAGAGAACGACATCTCTATCAAAAATACAACATACAGTGCTTTATTATTTAAAGCTCATTGGACGGTGCTGAAAGCAATATTGAATTGAGAGATTCTCAAGATATCTGGAATTCCCGGACCAGCCAACACATCGGGACGGTTCACTCTTATCCCAGTGACTACCCCCCCCCCCCCCCCAGCAAGGCCTCTGATTGGCCCACTTAGCTAATGGTACACAGCAATCAGATGGGCCAGCCTCCAGCGGCTATTGTGCGGCAATCAGTGATGGAGGGCCAGGAAAAGGAAAAGGCCTCACTGCTGCGTGTGTCAGAGCGGGCCAGGGCCACGGGGACGGGACAGAGAAAGGGACAGGGGTGTGTGTGGAAGGAGAGAGAGAAGGGGGGAGTATACAAGAAATAAAGAAGAATCGTTCAGGAGAACTTGGGTACAAAACAGCGCGCATTTGAGGCATGAAGCCGTCTCCATTTCATGTTCCTGCAAGCCCATTTGCCATAGAGTTGAAAGACAGACAAGAGCCATACTCACTGGATGAGAGGTGGCGCCCCCTAGGCTCGGAGGACTGGTAGGCGGTGTTGACGTCCCCCATAGACTGAGAGCCTTTGATGCGCACCTGCTTACACACCGAGCTGTGGGAGGGGCTGGGGGCCTGGGGGCAGAGGGGAATCAGGTCACATGGCGTGCGGCTTAGTCATCGATCGGAAGGCCGGCGGTTTGAATCCTAGGGTTGGCTGAGGGATGTGACCCTCAAGGCTCTTAAGCCTCAAATGCTGCTGGGAGGGGCTGACCCTGCTAAATAAATAACATGCAACAATTATAACAAGTACCTGGAATAAGAAGTGAATAATGAAGGAGGATTGAACCAGCAGGTGACTGACAGCCCTGGGTCATCCTCCACATGTGGGTGTCGGGGTTAGAGAGCTGTGAGTTTGCCAGTTTGAATCGTGATCTCAGTACACTGTACGACCGGCTGATTTACGTGGGTGTGCCGAGTCGGGCGCCTGTCTGATCGGCGCCCCCGCACCGGCACGCGCCGCAGGTCTGTGGTTTGGCGCAGCATGCGCACACAGGGCTTATAGGCCAGAACCACTCCTTCCCTCATGCAAGGACCCGTCTCATCTGGGCCGTAAATTAGCGGATCCTCCGTCGCAGGCGGCACTGTGTCTGCGCAGCTGCAGACTGACGGGTGACCATGCAGAGCCCAAGAATGCAGGGGTGGGGTGGGGGCTGCACACGAGCAGCAATAAGTCTGCCCTTTAGAAGGTAAATGCTTTGTCTGGCAAAGGGGTGGGGCCAGCTGAAAGCTGATTGGCCCTCGGAGTGTCCCCTCGCCTGTCACTTACAGATTCAAAACGTATCATTGGCTAATGATGAAGTTGCCTCCTCTGTATGAATTAAAGATCTGTATGGGTAAAAACGAAAACGCATTGCATCATGGGAATAGAGGCCGCACTTACGTTATTATGCTCCTGGGTCAGCAACTGGATCTTGATGCTCTTCATGTTGGAGCTGCGGTCCAGCAGGTCGATAGCCTTGTCCAGGTCGTCTTGACTGCGCAGAGGGATGGACAGCTGCGCAGCCAGAGGGGATAACAGAGGGGTCAGAATCACCCTGCCGTGCTGCTCTCAGTGTCAGGCCTGGGGATTCGCCCTGGTAGGCGTTACCTCATTGTTCATGTAGTGCAGGTCCAACTGCTGGCCAAAGACTGCGTGGACCTTCTGTCGGACCTCATCGAACTGCACCGGACGTCCAAACATCAGGATCCTGCCACAGGGATGGAGTTTAGTGACGTGGTGACGAGACAGGCATGGATCAGACGCCCATTTGGGAACCTCTAGATGTAGAAAGAATAACCGCGATGCAGAAGCGCAGCGCCGAAGGAAGCGGTTCGGTGACATTCCCCTTTGCGCCCCCTAGGGGCGAGCGGGTCCTGCGTGAGCATCCAGACACTCAAGCTGCCGGCAAACGAGGAGTCAGCGCCCGGCTCGCACACCTAGCATTCCCGCGGTTTCCTCTGGCGTCCCGGGCCAGACCACAGCAGTCTTTCCCATATGTTCCGCCCCCGCATACTAGCCCAAGAGCAAGTATGGGCCAGGGGAACCGTAACGAACCCAGAGGTTCTATGCTTTAGGGGGTTTATATGCACAGGCAGAGGCCTGCTCCCTTGCCCGCATGCCGTCCAAAAGCCACTAAACTTCGGCACGCATTTTAATTGGATTTTTAAACCGTGACGTACAGTAACAGATACCCGTACCTAAACGCTCCCGTACACCGACGTCACGTCATTTCCCCCCCCCCCCTACCACATATGGGCGCGAGAACCAAGAACACAGAAACCAACACAAAAACCAGGGTCTCACCTCCGTTCCCCACAAAATTCAAACTTGATTCTGACATCATCCTTTGGTGAAAAACAAACAGTAAAAAAAATAATCAATTAGTGCCACACATGTGTGATTAGACCAAAGAGAGCTCTAAGATGGGATGGCATGAGGGGGGGGGGCACTGAAACGGAGGGTGGGGGAGGAGCCAGGAGGCACTATGGAGACATACCTGTCTTTTGGGGGGGCAGCTGGGCTTGGGTTTGCCCATGTCGAAAGGGGGCGGGGCCTGGCTGCGCCGGGTCATCTGTAGAGCCACCAGGTCCTTCATGATGGAGTGGAGAGCCTGTCGCTCGTCTGAGGGAGAAGAGGGAGGCAGAGAGGCAGATGGAGAGATGGAGAGAGGACCAGCAACGATTTAGCAGAAGGCATTATGTACATGCATGCTTTGGCATGTAAGCTTTGTAACCGGGGGCCATGTTTCTTTGATGTGGCTCCGCCTCCCTATAAAAAAAAGGCCAATTAAAACGGATCCCAGCCAGGAAGATGACTGACATACTCCCGCTGCTTTTGTCCTCTGGGGTGTCGGAGCACCATCACCGACAGCTCGGCGACTCGACCCGGAAGTAGTTAAGCGTGGCGCTGTCTCTCTGTCCCAGAAAAAACACCCCCCCCCCCCCGCACGCCAAAAACAGGCCAGCGGGCGCGAGAGAGCAAGCAGACAAGTGTGGAGCAGACAATTCAAAGTGGGACGACCTCTGACCCAGGGATGGAAAAATCAGGAAGCGGAGAAGGGTGTTTGGGAAAAAAAGAATATGCAGTGGTTCTGCCTGCTGAGGATTAATTTTCTTATTATGGAAAGTCAGAATCGGAACTCACATGCATGCAGAAACGGAAGCCCAGAGGGCTGTCCTGCTCGCGAAGCTTTTTAATGTCTCACTTCCCATGTTTGATCGGATAACTACCTCATGAACGAGGGAACACATTCCTAGCGTAGCTCGGACATACATCACACGGAGCCGCGGATGAAACTCAGAGAGTACTCCGAAATGCTTAAGGCAGGGGTGGCCAATCTCATCCGCAAAGGGCCGGTGTGTATGCGGGTTTTCGCTGCAACTCCCGAATTAGATTACTAATTAGAGGACTGATTGGCTGGGTTTGAACAGCTGGCCTACAGGTTATCCCAAAAACCTGCATACACACCGGCCCTTTGCGGATAAGATTGGCCACCCCTGGCCTAAGGTATGCTTTTCTGGGAAGGAGGCGGAGCTCCGAGGCACAGAAGCAGACAGACCGACTGGGCAGCAAGTCATTGGGGGGCCTGACTCCAGGCACTCAATGCAATTGGCTGAGCAGCTTGACCCCGCCCATTTCAGCAGCTCATTGGCAGAAAGTGCATGCACATGATCACCAACCCTGGCAGACACTATCTTTGCATGCCAATGATGCTGCATGGGCTCACTGCGGCACTACTCACTCATTTTTGCAGAGGATGGCCGCCGTTCCCACGCTGCGATGAGATCTTCAGAGGGTCGTTCCGCCAGCACCACCCATTAACAGCCTAGGGAAGAAAGCAGGAGCTCTTCATCATCATCATCATTGTCACAGGTACAACACACACAGAGCAAAACTGCTGCAAAATTCACTTCCGGGCCAATCACTGACAAACACACATACGCTATGAACAGTCATATTTATGAGGACGCTCCTTTGACTCATTGCAACAATTAATAAGCCATAAATTGCCAAAACTAAAAAAGAGAGACGGAGAAAGAGGCTGAAATGCAGGCTGCGAGGGGAATTTCATGGATGTACACAACATCCGCTTCTGTCCAGATGCCTAAATGAAAGCCATTTATGCTCGATGCAAGCCGCAAGCCGCAGTCACTTATACACTTCCAGCTAAGACAACAGCTTTTAATGAGGCTGTAGGCTCCGGCGCTCGTTGGATATAACAGCACTTTAATCATGACGTACTGCAGCTTCTGAACCCAAACAGGCTCCGTGCAAAACACAGTAACGTCAAAATCAAACCACGACCAAACAAAACCAGAGCAGTCCGTATAATAATACACCTTCGTCCGCTCATCTGTCCATCCGAAAAAAGCAAACTGATAAAGGGTAAAAAAAAAAATTTAATTTCACAAATGAGTGATATTTTTAGCGATGGCCAGGACGACGTCATTTTGAAAACCAAGTGGGTGATCTGACTCGCACATCACAATAACCTCTCGTTTTTGGCCTCCGATCCTAAAAGAAATTCTTCATACAACGACCGGGAAAAACCCAAGAGAGACACAAGAAGGTAACAATCCGATTACGATTCAGCGACATGAACGGTATCAGAGGAAACACCTCCATCGGTCATGGATGCATCTGAAGGGAAATGGAACGATTCCTCAATCTGACTGACGCATGTCAGGCAGAAACTCATCACACGTTCACGCGGTTTATTTTGTAAATTTCAAGGCATTAATCTCTCTATTTCTTTCCCCCACTGAGGGAGCGGGTATATTTGAGCGACCTCCACAAGTGAACTTTCCAATATGCAGTTTGCTGCTGTGTGACAAAGCAGAGACGTGATCCGGATCCGACATCTCCAAGGCGAAAATTAGGATCGAGATCCGGCCGCTAACTCGGCACTGCCTTGGCTGTGGTCAAGATCATGAGCCGCAAGCAAGGCTACAGGACAGCAGGGCGAACAACAGATAGAAATACAATGATATAGAATTGCTATGGTACGAAATGATCAGGACGAATGTTATCTGACAACTGATGAAGATTTGTCGAGTGTGGTGGCAGTCTATCTACCGTAATTCTATGGCAGGAGGCCCCAGCTGGATGCCATAGAATAACAGCCCCATGTGTGCTTCAGCCAGCCACTCAAGTGCAAACACCCCAACTAAGCAGTAGGTGGCACTGTGTCAGTGGAGCATCGAAAATGTTGCAAGCTCAAGTCCCAGAAGAAAGACAGCTATTGCATCAGATTCGTGTATATTTTTGAGACGGATGCAGACGTTGGAGTGCGCATCATCTCGATTCGCTGTCACCCCCACTCCCCGGTCACCGGAGTCCGCCCTCTAGCCCCCCCCCCAGCCTAACCACGGGAATGCAGGGCACGTCCGCCTGGTGGAGATTTACCGTGCTGTGGTCCAGCTTTTAATCCGTCCTCACATCCTCTTGCCGCGTGCATGAAAAAGAGCCCTGTATGCACTCACCTTCTCCTCCTTGCCCTCCCCCAACATAAACAGAAGGCTACAGAGAACAGGGAATAGATTGGTTGGGGGGGGGGGTTGTTAAAAAGCAGCTAGACATTACAAGGCAAAGTGACCTTCATGCACTCCGTCGCAGCTTCACACAGCTGGGTCAAGTGATGCTGCCTGCCCCCACAATCTTCCCTGAAGGAAAACGGCCAGCAGGGCGGCGACACGAACCCCATCAGATGTGCACCCATGTTTTCCTTAATATCTCATATCCAATAAACGTAAATTTACATGGACTACACCTCCACCATAACATTGCCAGCTTTTTTTTTTTTAATAAGATGTTTAGTTTAATGTTTAGTCTAGAAATTCCTTTCCCAGCTCCGGTACTTTCCTGCTTCAGAGGAGCGGTCCTTCCACGAGTTTATGGCACGCGTTACTGCTGAACAACTCGGGGCAGAGTGCTGGGGCGACGTGACCCAATAGGAAGCCAGCATATTCCCGGGGAGCCCGAATCAGAACAGAGAGACGGCATCTCGCGAAAGCCAGAGGTGCTGGGGGGGGTAACATTCACTCTGCCAGATGTCCAAATTAAAGTCCACGGGCAAGGGGCCGCAAACAGAAAGGAGACGAGGGAACGGGAGCCCCGCAACTCGCGCTGCAGACGGACACAGCTGCACACAGCCCAGGGAATGGAAAACTTTAATTTGCCATATTTACTGCAGTCGCTCTGTAGATGGTTCACACATGGAAGTTCACACTTCACCCATTTATACATCTGGATATCTACTGCAGCAATCACATTTATGTGCCATTTTCAGGAGTACAAACACCCTCCTAGTAATGGACACAAGTGCTCAAAAATTAAAGTACACGTTTAGACAACAAGATAACCACAACATCGAATTACCACTCATACATGGTGGCAATCAAGGACCCGCAGCATTCGGGACGTTGCATATGGATGACTGGCACTACAAACCACAAAGAATCCTAGTCAATGGCAATCTCTGTTTTCCCGTAGAGAATATGTCACCATGCTAATTATGGCATTGTACAATTAACAACTTCATAGTAAATACTGCAACAATATCTGTCCTTAGCTGTATTTGTATGGCATCAACCAACATTTCAGACATAGGAAATGCCTTTACGATCTTGATTCAAAGTGGCGAGTTTATTTCAGACAAAATCTCATTCATGTAGAAATCACGTAAGAAAAATGCATTCCAAATCAGTAGGCCTATGGAATATAACATTACAGAATGTGGTCACACTTGTTTCAGGAACGCAATGCAAAAGCTCTAGCTTGGCATGACATCCCTGGCGTCCCATAATAATTACTCAGACGCACTTAATCAAACGGGACTTAAGAGAAGCGGCATCTTTTGATCATTATTCATGCAATCAGATTAAATATCGGCATCATACTACATGGTATGTCCAGCTACGGCACCGGCTGTTTTAACCCACCGAGAGTAATCCAAAGTAAATACTTGCTGCAGAACTGTGCAATCCTTCATGATAAGCCGGTTCTCTGTTCTCTTTATAGCATTTTCCTCCTATTATGTCTATTATGAAAGCGAGTTCTTGCATGCATCGCCTTATTTTTTAGAATATTTCATTTATTTGTGTACTTTTTAAAACTGTTTGCACTACGTTTACTTTATTAGCACTGTTTGTACTGTCTTTGTCACTGGTCTGCTTGGCCTATATGTATGTTCGTCTCTGCACTATGTTCTTGCTGCCGTATGCGTCGGAATTCCCCCCTGGGATCAATAACGTTAATCTTAATGATCCGGGAGGAATTAACTGAAATATACACGTGAAGTAGTCTAATGCGCGGCCTACCGTTTACAAAATGGATTGACTATAAAATCAGGGGATGGACGCCGTGCAGGAGTTGGGTCGGCGAGCCTCTTACCGGCTGGGATGGAGCCGCGGACCCCCGAGCCAGCGATACCGCTGAGGCTGCTCACTCCGCCGGGCGTCGTTTGGTGCGAAGCCCCGATTCCGAAGACGAACAGCCGCTATCTGCAGAAGCTCATCCTCACTTGGGATCCCCGCTTTTCGCACTCGGCGTTCCGCTGAGCAAGTGACCGGAGAGGGACGAGGCAGCGAAAGCCATCATAAACTCACATCCACTTAAGAGCGACCGGTTCGGGTATGAATATGAATATACTCCGTTCAGATGACTGATGGCGTGTCTGACAGCCTGCCCGCGCTAATAAAATATGCATTCATTTGTAGACAAAGTTCTCTCGTATAGTTCATAAACATAAAAAACAAAATACAACGAGCAAGTAACTTAAAAGTGTCTTTGGCACCAATCCACGAAACTTTGGGGGAAAAAGGAAATGTCCGTCGTTTTTAGGCGACAGTATGTTTACTGGCCCACATTCAAAACACAGATTGTAAGAAAAATATATACAGGAGAAACACTAATGTCCCAAAAGTTGTATATATGGGGGAAAAAACCTCCGATCATGTGAGAACGGCGCAACGCGCATCTAAAGCAAAAGATTTGGAAGGAATCGAGTCGCTTTTATTAAATCCATCTGGAGCCGAACAAGCGAGGAAAAGGGACGCGCTGGTTTCCGTGATTCTGATGGCCCGTTTTCCTGCTAACTTTGCAGATTTCGCCCCTTCTCCTCCGCTCGCTCTGCCCCGGCTTCTCGGAGCAAAACGCGTTATGATTATTTAGTCTCCATCCTAAGTACACAGAAAAAACAGCTTGAAACCAAGTTAAATATCTTAGTGCGTTAGATTCATCCGTGCATTAATACGAAAGGCGCGCCGGACCAGAAATGTAACAACAACAAAAAAAAGTGTACAGTAACAAAGCAAAATCTGACGGAAAAAGTTCTCATTTAAAACAAACTCTTGTGTATTTCTAATTACGCGCGCTGTAATAGATGGCTAGTATGTATACATTTACATAGGCCGATTTCTTTAATGAAATAGGATACTTTAAAGTAGTCCACGTCTTTACAAAAACACTTAAAATAAATTCGCATTAGGGCACAAAAAGGGACCTCTCAGAAAGCATCGCAATACGAAGGGTTTGCAGAAAAAAGAGGAGAGAATGAGGTATTAATTGCAGCTGCTGAAAGCAATGAAGCTCGCAACAGTTTTTACTGTTTATGTCATGCTGTTGCATGCTAACTACACAACCCCCCGCTTTGACGTCCGTTTATATACATCGGTACACAAACGCGCGGGGCAAGAGGAGGAGGAGGAGGAAAATATTGCCGCGAGAACGGACGCTTCACAAAGCATGCAACTTTTCCTCATTTATTGAAGTATTGGTGTATATTTTAACTGGAGTTCAATAAGAGTCGGACACACCCGCCTTCGCCTGGCATAAGATAGAATCGGCTTCCGAAGCGCTGATCCATTAAACTGGACCGTCCCGAAATCTGGTATCCCCGATGCACGCCAGTCGGAAAGTAAATTTTTATCTTTTGACAGTGAATTTCCCCGACTGAAAAACAGAGTCACCGAAACATATCCGTCAGCTTCGCAACTATAAAGACCAAAAAAGGGAAGGAGAAGAAAAAAAAAAGCAATCTCAAAGCCGATAAAAGCCAATGAGTCCCACTAAACGATGTGTCCTGGTCGAAAAAGTCGCCGGAAAACGTCAAAACTTTAATCACACGGACAGAAATTAAAGTAAAACGACGCTAGGCTGGCACGGGGGCGCGCTGCTCTTCGGGCCATTTCGTTCGCGGGTGCGCGCACGATACACGCGCCCAGAGACGAATTCTTCGTAGAATCACCAGTACGCACACATTGGTGACGTGGATCGCAAAAACGTAAAGCGACTCAACCTCCGTTATATTGAGGAACTGTCGATTATGTATTTCTGACGTCTTTCGAAGTCAATAAAATTGACTCTTTCACTTTTTTAGTTTTTACTTTTTAGATAAATGGTATTAGCAGATGCGGAGTATTTTTGTACTGCAGAATATGCTGACTTCCTGTACTGTTTTTTTTTTTCTTATTACCTTTAGGTTACAGGCCCAACTAACAAGTGCCCCTAAGGAAAAACGGACACCTTCTTCTACGTAATTGACGTCGATTTATGAATTGATTTAGAATTAACTATCCTTTCTGTTCGTTACGTATTCCATGTATTCAAAACCATATTCTCCTCAAACCGGCTCAATAAGAAGCCTGCAGTATTACTTTCTGAGATAAAACTTCTAAGACAGTAGATTTGAAATGCATGAGCTGTTCAGATTATAAAGATTTGTGTTGAGCTTTCTTTTTCACCCAAACAGCAAGCCGTGTGGCCTTGCCATTACCCCCCATAACCAGTTTTTACCAGTCTGGAGTGTACAATCATTCAAGCTCTGCTAGCAAAAACCTGCCCAATGACTGCAGTGCCAAAAAAATAATGAATTAAAAAAAACTATGAACAGAGCATGAAGCACAGCCATAAATCACTGAGTTAAACTCGTTGAGTCATCTGCCAAAACATTGACGGTTCTGAGCTCTGCCTTCCAGGCATGACGGCGATAGCAGCATGATTTGTGCACCCCCCGGTGATAGCAGCATGATTTGTGCACCCCCCGGTGATAGCAGCGTGATTTGTGCACACCCCTGCCCCAACTCGTACGCTCGTACGCAAGTAACCAAGTGCTCTCTGTGTCACTTACTGGCTGCAGGTGTCAGCTAAATAGAAATATCGGTTTACCCCTGAGGGTAGCGAGCGACATGCCCCTGTCCTGTACTTAGCCTCAGCCGCATATTAGAAGCAGGAATGTAAACAATTAGTGCGAAAGATTCCTAATCACCATCTTACTACTTCATCTTTGAAAATCATCACCTTTTAACAATGAAATGCAACAATAACCATTACCCACCTTTTAAAAATGGCTAATCTATAGCAGTAAAATACTTTACATACAAATGAATATTTTGTATATTTTTCGTTCGACAGCCTTATAGGGCAGATTGTAGTGCCACATAGCAAGATCTTCAATACATATAAATGTCGATTGTGCGGCATTCTGTTCAGTCTGTCTTTCCCCAGATTTGTATTTCTCACATGCATTCACAACAATGTCACAAAGCATGCATTTCCCATGTCTGTGGTTGCGTTTCTATATCCCCCCCCCCCCCCCCCATCAGTTCTGTAACCTTCAAATATATGCGACTCTGATTCAAGCGTAAGCTGAATAAAAACATGTAGCTACGCACTCTCAGGAATATGAAATGTCAGGAGTACAGTTAGAAATCTGTTAGAAACATTGCAGCTGATAAGAAGCACACTTTGTGAACCCACAATGGATAAGGCGTTGGGAAGTGTGTGGATGAAAGCCAGAATAAAAGATTTGTTAAGAATACACTCAAATAAGGAGATTTGCACGTGAGCATTAGCCTGTCATGGCTTGAGAATCTGCCCAACATCCAAGGTAGGGGTGTGTAAATCTTGACTCTGCTCTGCATTTCGCCTGTTCCCCTCACATTACATGGGTTATTTCTGCGGGTTCTGGTTCCCAACTACATGCAGTTAGGCTAAGTGTCATCTCTACATTGCCAATGATGTTACGGATAACGGCATTCCGTCCAGCTTTGTGTGCTGTGCATCCTGGAAAAGGCCTCAGCCCTATGTGTTGGAAAACAAACAGCAGTAAGTCTCTCCTGGCCGTTGCTGTAAGCATTCACGTTATATCGAACACAAACTTCAACAAGATAATCGTGTGTCTTCTGCTCCATGGTCCAATCTGCCTTTGCTAGAAGGTTTAGTCGACTAACATGCAGATGGCAGAGATGAATAATGTCCCCTTAGGCACAGAGTTGTGGTTCTTTACTCAAATATTATTTTGCTCAGATAATGAGTTTAACTGCATTAAAGCTCATTTTAATGTAAGGTTAGAGAAAAAAAAAGACTTCTCTATTGGAATTTTATTTTTTTCAAACGTGTACAAAATAAACACAAAATGAATAGCCACAGGACATCATATGATCATGTGGAAAGGGAGGTGAGAGAAAAAAAAAACACAAGAAACAACATTTCACATTATGCTTGTTTTTTTTTCCTCTACACAATTCAGCTTGAGTAAAATACAAGAAAGTACACAAACCCAAAAAAGCCATGACTGTGTACTGTAAGGCCACATCATTCCACAGCTCAAGTTTATACGATACACTTTTATGAAAGGCTCACAGTTTGTCACCACTCCCTGAAAACACAGCGTGCATTTAAAAAAAATAACGATATAAAAAAATATTTAATGTCAACTTTAACTAGATACATCTGTTTATTTGTCGCCTTTATTAAAACATACATTTTTGGTACCACTGTGGAGGGACACGTGTACCTTTTCGAATGAGGAGGAGGCATCATCCCAGAAGAGGCTTGGGGCCATACATCGGCTAGCAAATACGCAGGATATCAGAATGTAAGGTGAACGTGCTGTATCAGTCTGAGAGGGAGGAATACTTAAAAAAAGGGCAAAAAAATAAACCCAAACACCCTGCCTGCCTCCGAAGTATTTACAGAACTCTTAAAAATGCAGTTTTCAATGCGGCTGACTTGACATAACCTCCGCCACGCAGAGGTGAAACAGCTATGTAGAAAGGCCCTGTATTTGAATCTTTGTTATTGTTTATGTCAATATGATAAACGCAGTGGGTCAGTAATGCGGGGGACACTGGAATTTAACCGTCAACACTATGTCATGCCTTGTACAACAGGTTGTGGTCATATTTTGCATTCAGAAACAGAAATCGCCACAAACTGTGCTTGGACCGGTTTGACTGGAAACGCTGGACATAGTGCTGCAGAGGCTGGAATCCGTGTGATGTCACATCCATGCCCATGAAATGTCATTTTTGCACTTGGCTTATTGTACATTTTGATCGCACCAGCTGTTGTACCCATATGTACCATTGGACCCTTCCACCGCTTCCAAATGCCAATATATGTTTATATATCTGATCCAAGTCATATTTGTCACCACAAAACTATGCATTATGGGCAGGGGCGGATTAAGGTGCACAGAGGCCCCTAGGCTACAGTGGTCTGTGGGCCCCCCAACCCCGCCCCCCTCCGCGCCAATGGGGGCCCCCTTGCAGGTTGGCGCACGTGGGGCCCCTAGGCTTAAGCCATATCTAGCCTGTGCGTTAATCTGCCCCTGATTATGGGTTTCAACAGCTTGGATATTCGATTACCATTATCCAAGGGACTGTACGTCTGCAGTTTCATTCCAATCCAGCAGGTGGTGCACTTTCCCGCGCTTATCTGAAATTGCCAGCAATTTTAAACAATTACCACATAAAGCCACACAAGTCCCAAGTTTCCGTAACGCCGATTAGCAGAGTTTAGCACTGTGGCAATTAAAATACTCGACTTATCACTTCACATGTTCAACATGTGCCGTAGTTTTGTTTCACTGTTGGATTTTCACCCTGCGTTTACAGTAAATAAGGAAACAGCCTTAATTATTCGTGGTCAAAAACAGGAAATTAAAACAAAAATTAAAACGTGAGTATCGCAATTCCATTCGATCGGTGAAATAGACCAAAATACTGATTATTATTTTTTGGAAATCTGTTGGCTGATGGTGTTGTATTGCAGCCCTAACATGTACCAAAACTTTAACCTGAGAAGTTCTGGGAAATATTCGAGGTAGGAGACAAAGGAGTCGGCAAACTCCTTTACCTATCATCAGAATGTGCGGTACGGCTGGGTATGTCCAGGTTTGTCTAGAGCACAGCACAACTTTGTGAAAAAATTAATGAACCCTGGAATAATCTAGATTTCTGCAGATAATGTGAACCTCTTGGATAACGACCTGAATAGAAGGTAAACGAGGTTAGGCATGCATTTGACCTGCCCACACATAATGCAGCAACAGTTTTACATACGTAAATGACCAAAATACCGACAACTATGTACGTCGGATGAGCATAAAGTATTCCGTTAAGGATATTGCAAATAACAGAACTGCCACTAGTAACTAAATACAAGTTCACACACTTTTCCGTAACAGTTTAAACCATCTTTCCAATTCAGTTAAACCGTTTCATTTATTGGTTTAAGAGGCAATGATTCCAAATTCCAAGTGGTTCACGAACTTTTCCCTCACAACTGTAAATTAAGTGCCAAGTTTGCAGTCTAATGGAGGGGGAGGGGATACAAGAAAATTAAAAAGGGGACTGTCACAGTGATAAAAGGTCAGTCCCCGTCTCTTCCTCGGCAAAAGAAAATGGATGGGCCCCATTTTGTAGGACGCCAGTCCTTTTTAGTACAGTACATTCACTAAGCAGACTACAGTGCCTTCATATTCCTTTTAGAAATGTATTTCTAACACAACGATACTACGAACCACAAAGATGTCCAGCATGTTGAGAGATTAAACTTCACAGCTAATGACCCCCATCAGATGGCAATATAACCCCCCCCCCCCCCCCCCAAGGAAAAAGAAATGAAGAACAGTGTTCTCCCGTGTGGCGATATGGAAGATTAAGACCACCTACCCCTAATAGATTCAATCATGCGGGGGAAAACACGAACCCATTTCGTCATTGCAGGTTGCTTGTTGGCCGTTTTGCCCATAAGACAAAAATTGCTTCTTAGTAAGGGAGCAAGAGGACAGACAGGGGGAGACCCTGATTCTGGTACCCTGGCCAGATGTGTCACTGTAAAAATTCTGCGCTGTTTACACAATGGGGATAGGCAGAGTTAAAAAAAAAAAAAAAAAAAGACAAATGAAAGGGAAAAAAAAAAAAGGTGGCTAAAAATATCCCAAGATTACGGAACCTTCTGCTGGCGTGAACCTTACTGACCAGCTGATACTCCAGCAGGGGTCACCTGAGCAAAACGAGTTTCCGAAAGTACAAAATGAAGGAAAACTGCCAGGCAGAAGTACGACGTAATCGCATTCGTACCCCTTTTGAGATACTACATTAAAATGCAAAAATTAAAGGCTGTTTTAAAAGAACCTTAGTTATTAATGTTTTTTTGTCTTCCTTTTTAAATAAACGACAGATTGTATGAAGCTAAGTAGTTTGGAATGACAGGCGGGCCCCGTAAAGGGGCGTGTCCCTGCATCTCGGAATGTGAGTGGTGTGGGCGGGCCTCTGGTGGGCGGGGCTACGCGGACTTCGTGACCCCGTCGGCCTCCTTGGCGGCCCACAGCTCTTTGTGCTGCCGGCGGCCGAAGCCTTCGTCGTAGTTGCCCTTGCTCTTGAACAGCTGCTGGTAGTGAGGCTTGCAGTAGAATTCGCCCTCCAGCGCTGCATAGGACCCCAGGCTGAAGGGGGGGGAAGAGAACAGGGGTGATGGACAATGGACATAAGGTCAGGTCAGGATGTATAGTAACCAGCACTCTCGGCCATGACCTAGCTCCTCAAACAGCACTTTCATATTCAGTTGCTATATGGGGGCGGGGCTTGCCTCTGTGACAAACTGGGCCCAGCTCCCCATTACCATTAGAATAACTCATATTAAAATCACCGCATCCTACAGGAGTTACAGCTGCATTGGCAGTCCAAGTGTGGCCTTTGCCAAACAAGAAGCTTAACTGGATGGGCAAAGCAAAACTGAATCAGGTGCTTCTGGTATCGCACCAATGGCAGCGCAACATGAAACCCAACCAGAGCCAGAGTGTTGGGGTGTAGAACGTCTACCCCATTAAACTATCAGTTCAGCATTCGTCTAGCTAGACCAAGGAAGCATGCTACACCACCGGGGCCATGAATGTGCTCTGCAAGGCTCACCTCAGCTTGGTGTTGCAGTGCTTGCAGCAGAAACAGGTCGTGTGAAAGATCAGCTTGTCTGCCACCAGTCTCTCCATGGGGTAGACAGTCTTCTTGCAGGACGAGCATATCTCCTTCTGGGTCTTAAAGCTGAAGGACTGAACCGAAAAGGAAAAGGGACATCGCGTTAAAGAGACGCCACTCAGGTTAGCAAGGTTGACTTGGCTTGAAGGTTTACTCCGCATCACTTCTGTAGTTAGGGTACAGTTTTTGATTACATGATGAACAGTGGGCTTCAGTAATAAGGATCAAGGGGACTTGATGGGTGGTGGCTTCACCTTGGAGCGTTGCACAGGTTTGTCCTCTGGGGTGGTCCGGTCGTCCTGTAACAGGAGGAAGAAAAACCACTGGGTCAGGATCAGAAGATGGCCTTTGAGTCACCCTCCTGTGTTAGGCAGGGCACGTGCCGATGGGCTGAATGACCCCTGCTTCTGGCTGCCATTCAGCCTCACTGCGATTCCCGGAGAAGTAAGCCGATCCCCAGCCCAGACAGCATCCTTCCCACTAAATCCACCCGTCAATCGCAGTATTGCCAAGGGAACGGAGTGTCGGATTTCTACTCCAGCCCACCAGAATGTCATGTGGACATGCTGGAAGCCGCAGATGAAAATGCCGAGTGACCTGAAACAACCACAAAATCTGCTCTACACAAAGCATGTCATATCCACCTCAACTGGGTTATGTTAATTTCATTATTTATGTTCGTTTTATTACTTCTGTCTAATCTGCCTTATGTTCAAAGCAGATTAATATATTACACATTTATCCTGCTGGATATTTGCTTTGGATAGAGACTCCAGGCCAATCACAACCTTGGATCCTAATGGAGCCTGGATATTCACTGAAGAACGTAGCACTCAAAATGTACAATGAGGTGGTCCTTTCCAGGAGCTTAACATGCGAGCCTCTCACCCTCCACTCAAGGACAGCCAGGTCCCCCCCCCGGACCTCTAAGCACCATCTGTCACGTGGCACCGGTTGTGCGTGAACTTGCCCACAACGCAACAAGATTTAGATAAGCCCCCCCCCCCCATTCAAGCTATATTAAATCATTGCACCCTTGGAAGCGGCAAAAAACAGGGCAATATAAGAAAGGAATAAGTTATTGTTTGTTCAAGCATTCTGGTTATCGTGAGAGAGTATGAGACAGCGGATGACATAACGTCGACTGGCACAGCCGCACGCGGCTAGCTGAGGAATCCTTTGTTCGACGAGGGGTAATTAAATTTGCCCTATAGATTCCTCCCCCTCCAGGGCCGCTCTAAATGGGGTTCTCAGAGGTCCTCTCAGCTCTTGGTGGGCCCTGGATGGCAGCTGAAGCTCCCCCTTCCTCAAATGAAATGCCAGCCCCTTTCATTCCAAACCAGCGCTGGAGCTCCGCAATAAAAAAAGAGCAACAAAGGAGTAGAGATTAATATCCAGCAACAGGAAAAATCAATGCGCATCCAGAGCTGAATGCAAGCTCCATCAGACCAAGCTAATGAAGACTAATGCACCATTGCATCAATACAATGAATTCCACATCATAGGCACTGCCTTTATACTATTTTTCTGTGTGTCCTGCCCGGCCAACACTCTAAACCCTAAATAGGAGGTTAGGATAGAAACATGGACCGTGGGGCGAAAGGTCTCAGTAAGCTTTTCAGATGACCTCAAGGGTCAGACTTATTGCCGGTCTCTCCGTCCGATTCTCATAACACTCCCTGAAGACGCAGGACACAACCTCTTTATTTGGTCATGTTTATTTTTAAAAGGGCCTTAAACAGCACTTCCCCTTTCTTATTCTGAACTTGCTATTGGGCCGTTAAACAGTCTGATTCATGGATGTGGACTGTGTCCCGAAGGACGACCAGTCCAGGATATCTGAGTCACAATGAAAGTTTCCACATTTTCCACTTCAGGTACATCAGACGACCATGACGATGATCATGGCACCTGGGACCAAGACGTCAAATTCTTTTTTCCCCCTTAGTGAAAACATTTGATACAGACAAGCTAAAACAAACCACCTGGGATATGTCCCTTTAATGCTTTTCTGCTAAATAGCTGCGGTTCCTGCAGCAGCCACATATATTGAGACAGCAAGTTTCAAATCCCAGAATGCAGTGCACTCTTGTACCCTCAGAGAGACAAAAATCACTCTACGTTCCTCATCGAATCTCCAGCCATAGCCAGTACAGTATTAGAGCAACCAAGTTAAATGGGAAGGTCTTTATTTGAACAAAACAGAGAATGATCTAAAATAACCACAAAGATATAAAAAGCTTTTGGGTTATGAACGTGGAAGAAGCAGCTCCTTCTACCAATATTTAGTTCAATCATGCAAATGTGACAGCAAATTTTCTGTCTTGTCCACTCATAAATTTGCAGACTATGCGAGAGTCAGCCTTGACCGCTTAACTGAGGTGCACACATCCACTTTTTTTGGGGGGGGGGAAATCAGGCTATTAATGCCTCTTCGCAGGGAGGGGGCCTGAAAGTTCTTTAGCTATTCCCCAAACAAAGACAGCGTGCAGCACCTGCCCCTACAACACACGGCAAGCGGTTTGCCAGTGCTCCAGCTGGCAAAGAGGTTACCATTGCATCTTGAGGTTCCAGAATGAAAGGGGGGGGGGGGGGGGCCGGGGGGGGGACTTCACACACGACCAGCAGCTGGCCTAACAAAACAGAATAGATCCGCAAAGGCGGCCAGGGATTGTGACTCAGCTGTAGATGTAGATAGTAAAATGACTAAGAGTCACGTCAGCAGAACCAGGGCGTTTTAATTAAATGTGGCAGAAGGCTTCCTATATGAAGCACAATGCCACTGTAAGAGTGACACATGTACTAATGACATTCAAGAAGAAGACAAGAACAAAATGTATACTGCATGCAACAAACCGGACATTCTCGCATGTCGAAACTTGAGCAACGTGGACGGAAGAGCTCTTCTTCCGACATGAAGGAACTTGACCGAACACGATTTCCTCATTGCTGAGGAGCAGTGCTACATGCAAGCACACACAAACAAGAAGAGTCCACCACACTGTGAAAACTAGCCACAATTACTTCCTGCCCGATCCCCACCTAACTTGAAGGAATGACCCACCCAAGCCTTCTACTCCACACCAGCACAACCATTAGGTCAAAAATGACGAGGTGTACCTCATGGGGACATATAAACTTTCACAAGGTGACATAACATTAAATACATTCAGAGTATTGCATCAAATAAGAAGCTAAACATCTACTGACTGGAATAAGATATCTGTAATAAGAGGATATCCACTTAAGCGACTGATTTTCATTCATAAAAAAGGGTAATAAACTGGAGAAAATGCAGTTAATAAACACTGGCAACACTGCAATGAGTAGTTTCACAAATAAACAATAAGTGTGTAATTCCCAGGAATGCCCCTACTGTAGTATCCTTGTACTTAAACGGATAAATGCATGGATGTTAGGTTATCTAGTGTAGGGTCATAAGGTTTCAACTAACATGTACTCTGGTGTGTAAACTGGTAACTAGCAGCTAAACAGCACCATCGACCTCAAACCTCTGGGAATAGGGGTCAGATTCCTACCTGCATCTGCTCACTTGTCAGTCAGTTGCTTTAATTTCCTCCCTTAGTCCAAAGACATGCAATATAGATGAACACACTCTAAACTGCCCTGAGTCGATTAGAAAATAGCTGTGGGAAATGGATGGACGCAAGCATAAAGCATCGTGATGAATGGGTCAGCTGACCAGCAGCACGTCACACACAGTCAGTGGATTACCGCTAACGGCGGCAACGCCAATCAACGGAAGGGAATTGAAGGGACAGGGACGATGAGAATCAGCCAAATGCGGAAGACCAGGGGGCAGCATAGGATAGATGTCAAGGGGGGGTTTGTGAATACAAGCACAGACACGTCCCGCAGGGGCACCATTCCACCACTGACAAGCTTGAACTTTTCTACAGCAAAGAAATGCAAGCTATGTGACAAAACACTGAAATGTGCATTCATACATCCATCCTCGTAATAAAGCCGTGACTCAAAAATGGACATCTTGCTTTACCCCGAGTTTCCAATTGAACAATATCTCAATGTTGCTTACTCTGATAACTTGTCGGATTTAAGGTAGTCTGGGCCAAATGTAAGTGAAAAGATAAAGTCCATTTAAAATGGGTAAATTAAATCCTACAAGTTATTTGGCTATGCAAGAAATCCTGCTGGTAAATCCTGGTATTGCTATACTGGGCTTTCTGTACTGGAACTCCATTAACTTGTGTCTGACATCATTCCCAGTTCCAAAGATCTGACCTCCAAAGTAAATAGAACGCAGCCATATGTCCAGATCTAGATTTTGTTTTGTGGTGTTAAGAAAAAGAAACACAGGCAAAATGTCATTGTCATGCACGATGATGTCACTGTCTTTGTAAACATTTAAAATTCGATAGGTGGGAAACAAATCTGCTACATTAAGAATATTGACTTTAGACTAAAAATAATTATGATGATAATAATAAAATGCAAGGAGGATAAAGAGTGAGAATATGCAAAGATGAGCCACGACACAACAGAAACATCATCCCACCCACAACCTCACATCCCTTCACAAGCAAAAGGGTTTTTTTTTCCAAAATGGGGTTTGAAGTGGTTACATAGTTTAAACGGACCCCATGAACCTCCTATAGAGCAAAACCACAACAATGCAGAGGTGGATGCAAAGATGGCTGTCAACATTGTACCTGAAAGAAAATAAGTCTCAAGGAAAGAAATGAAAATTCTCTTGAGCCAGCATTTGGGGTAACACGTGTCACCTTACAAAAGCTGCTGATTCCCAGCAGTTATGATTTTCAGTTTTAATTGAGGTTGTATCCTGCCAGTAAAGCTGCTGTTGAGGTTTAAGAGAGGCACGGGTCACAGACAAGGATCTGAAACTGAGAAAAGAGCCACAGAACAAGAGCTAAAAGCCCTGCAGAAGTGAGTAATTACGTTAGTGCAACAAATGAGCAGCTCAAAGGCCATTTTCAATTCAGTGCCCTGTCGTTTGTAACGTACGGGGAACGTGACATTAAAAGCACGCAGCCATCTCTGCTGCAGACGACACCGTAGAATTCACATTCCTTAGTAGTAACAGGCAAGAGAAACTTCTCCAAGCATGGATAGCACCAAACACCCCTCAGATTACACAAAGCAGGACTTCAGAGAATTTAACTGATATTAATCAGGTACTGTGTACACAGGGATTGCCTCTGGCAAGGGCTCTCATTCTTTATGCATCTGATTAGGCTAAGGAACTGAGACAAGTCTGGTAGGAGAATCTGTACATGAAGGCCTGGGAAACTGGGAATCTAAATGAGAGTCCAGTATTTTGAGGGATGAAGGAGGTGAAAATGTACTTGTTACTCCAGATCTTCTGATAAAGGTTTAGTGATGTTTACATCTAGGGACTGGGGAAAACCGTGGAATCAGACTTGAGCAGCATTCATAAAATACTCCTGCAATTATTTAGCAGTCCGCATAGAGGCATTATCATCATGGAATTTGGGAATGTCACCAGGTCCAGAGGGTGTCCCCAGCCCTGTAAAATGGTCACATATGTCCTGCCATGACTAACAATCATCAAACTTAGTGACGCCCACAAAATGGCTGCCTGTACCATTATGGATCCCTCAGCATCCTCATTTAGCCATAGACATCGTAGCTTGAACCCATCTAGATGTAGGAAAAGCACAAATCTTAATACTCACACCGTATTATTTACCCCACTGCTCAAGGGTACAGGTTTAGTGCTTCTTACATCAGATTATACATCTTTGTGCACTGATCTTGGATACAGGTGGTTTGCAAATGGCCACACTGCCGTACTTCATTAGATTTGTTAAAATAATGGCATATTTTCACCGAGTCTGGGTCTCAGAGGTGCCGATTCATTTCTGTGGTAAATCTGAGGGTACCCTTTAACGGCGTTTAGCAACCTACCAGTCTAATGTCAGTCTATCCCTGTTGGTCAGCTTTAACTTTGAGCCTCAGTTCCTCTTTGGTGACACAGAGTGTTAGCACATGCTGCTGTGATTTGAGACAATCTCCCCTTGAAACATTAAATAACGAAAAATCAAAGTGTTGTCCACAGCTGCCACGACTGTAAAAATTTTGATAAGGGATGTAATGAGTTTAAGGCATACAGTACCTGAAGACCATAATATTGCTTTTAGAGCAGATCATGGTGTACATAGTCCTACTACTAAAAAGTTAGTCCAAAGAACTCATCCTCCCCAGCACGCACCATGAAAATACCACCTTATTCTTGCAGACTATGCGAACATGACCATATAATGAAACGACTATCCTCTCGAAAGGACTTCATCAGCACTGAAACTTCCTGATGGGTTTCGACATGCACATAGTGTAGAGATTTTTGTTATTACTTTTCAGGAAAAATGAAAAGCCTCTGGGGACAAATGCCTGAGCAAGAATAAAACTATCACCTCTCTCAAAAATAAAACCCGAGGTGAATGAGCAGCTGTAGTTGCTGAATAGACAGCAGGAAATAGGATGAACAAGTCAGAGTAAAACTGGTCCAGAAAAACAAAATAAGTTTGTAAGTATTCCTAGGATTTTAGTATCCTAGTATTACTAATACTTTAATGTATGAATCTACGACAACCTCTCCCCGGGTTATGACATGGTTACGTTCCAATAAACCTACTGTACAGCAAAAATGCATTTTAATACAGTACACCTGACCTAGCAAATATCATAACCTAGCCTAACTTAAAAATGCTTAGAACACTTACATTAGCCTACAGCTGGGCAAAATCATTACACAAAGCCTATTTTATAAAAATGTGAATCTCATGTTATTTATTGAATAATGTACTGAAAGTGAAAAACATACCTGTCGTAAAGTCAAAATATCGTAACACAGACCATATAATCCCGGGGAGCATCTGTACTTGAAAACAACTGACTCCATTGTATCATTCATAAGATGCTTCCTGTCAAAGGACTCAAACAAAACACCTCCATTTTCAGGACATTTAGTCTTTCGGCATAAAGTCTGCATTCATTGGGTCCTGGCTGGAGCAGTCACAGATTACCCCCCACCCCAAATCAACAAAGCCCCACTTGTAATTTCCAATCACTTCTTCATAAGGTAAGCAGATGGCCCAGTCAAGACAAAAAAAAAAAAAAAACACAGAGTAGTAAGACCCCTGATAGTCAATTCAAGAGACACACGATGTCTGAAATCAACTTTGACTCCCGGAGGTTCCTGTGGGTAGGATCAAAGCAGAAAGCAAATTTTTAAGAATTGATTTGTTTAGCTGTATACAAACCAATGTCTTTCCGCCACAACGTGGCTCATGACATCAATCTATTTAAAAAACACCCAAATCCATTTGAATAACCTACACAATTCAAGGTTACCTCATTCTCCAAATTGTGTGGCACGCCATCTAAACCAAAATCCTTCAGGATACAAATCATTTATAGAGAGTTTCCATTACATACCCCAATCTAACCCAGGAGTGTCAATTCCCAATCAATAATGGATAGGGTTAAAGTAATCGATTTGAAGGACCTCCGCAGTATTACAGGAACTGGACCCAGACTACAGAAAAGTATTAAACAAAAAAAGTGGCTTAGCTTGACGTCACCAAATTCCAAGATCGCCTCCAGAACTTTCGAACAGAATAACACAAAATAAGTAAAGCAACAGGGAAAACCAGTTTAATTGAAAGGGTATACTTCAATAGGCAATACTTCAAAAGGGTATACGTCCCAGATTTGGTGCCATCAGATTTCTGTCCTGAAAGTGCCCTCTGGGCAAACCAACAAACCAACAGTCCTGTTGCGTGCCAGTCGCGGCGTCGTGTTTTCCATTTTACTGCATGACGTCTGGAAAACTTAAAACAAAATGTATTAAGTTACTAGATTCTGATTTTTTGTTAATTTAAAGGTCTAAGTAAAAAAAAAATAGTACCATCACCAGACTCCGATTCTCCTAACTGGTTTTCCTTGAACGAATTTGATATTTAGGCTACAAGGGGGAGCGGAACATGCCTAAACTACACGGGTTGGTACGATCTTTTGAAATCGAATCAAATCCGAATTGAGACGGGACAAGCCAATTTAAAACTCAAAATTGAAATTTACTATATAATATTTAAACAAAAAAAATGTCGCGACACCTGGACACTTGGCACATTGTTAGAGTAAGATCATCCGTTTATGTAACTGTTAGGCGATGCTGCAGTATAGCCTTAAAAGCCAAATCATGCATTAATTAAAGGGCGAGTTAAACGCCTGGAAGCCGCATCAGCAGCCGCGCCAGCGGCCGAGGGCGGTTCGGGATGCAGAGCAATTTGCAAACCCGAGAATCACAAGTCGGCATGTTATAAAACAGATTTAGTGTCAATAGCACAAATGCATCCCTCCCTCCTACCGGGAAAGGCGTGCACCCAAACAAGTCCGCATTGAGCTACTGTTTATTGTCTGAGATGTAATTGAAACCGGTGTCCGTTTTAACTTTACTTTAAACAGGTACAGGATATTCCGAATGCATCAGTCGCACTGCTTCGCATCGTGCACCCCTGGGTTTCTGTGCATCCTAAACATCTGCTCCCTGCTCCATCGCCCAGCGCGCAGGAGCCGCTCCTCCGGCCAAACGACAGCCAGCGACCCGCTTAACCAGATAAATGGACACCAGCAGCACCTCCCTTTACAAAGGAGAGGAAGGGGGGCTGCGCGGATCCGCATCGCTGTAGACACACCGGGGAGGCCGAAAACCCACTTACCATCTGTGTGTCCTTATCAAGGCAGGTAGTCTGTATAAAAACAATACGGTGCCCCAGTCCGCCTCGTATGCTCCACTCGATCCGCTTCCCTCTGTGTTTTTCCGGCAGGGCTCGCCACTCAAATGAATCAATTTCTTAGACTTGCTCGATCCCTTTTTTTTTTTTTTTGTACTCTTTTTTTTTTGATCAGCAGGATGTTGTTCGCCATTGGTCGGAATAACCACCCCCTTCCCCGTCTCCTATTCCTCCGCCCCCGCGCGCCGCTTTCCTTGTGTGACGAAAGAGGTTAAGATGGACTGCAGTGTGTGTTGTTTCCTTTGTTGTAATTTGCTCCGAATAAGGAATTTATAACGTATATGTAGTGCTTCCGTCTTAAATAGATGTATATGAAAAAGACGTTAAATTGCATAAATTTTCCATCCACTTAGTACAGACCTTTACTCCTGGCAGCATAGGGCACTAGGCAGGGGTACACCCTGGACTGGATTCCCGCCCATTGCGCGCGCATTCACAATCACTCACTACGGACCATTTAGTGATACCGAAGTTGCCTTACTGCGTGTTTTGGACACCGGGAGGACACGAGAGTACCTGGAAAAAAAAACCTGCATAATCTACTAACTGAACCACCCAACATTTTGTTGTGCTAAATTACATTGTTAAATAACAGTGTGGTTTATTTGTCTGTTGTTTTTGTATGTTAACTTTGGGGAAGCTCGTTTTCATTTAAGTCGAAAGTACAGAGTGATATGTATTTTTTGGTCCAGTGATTTCCCTGTTTCGGCTCAGAGGTCCATTTATTATAACACAATTCTAAACATGACACAGGCCAACTAAATAGGCTCTGGCCCCCATGATCGTGCATAGGATGAGTGGGTAGGGAACATAGCTGGGATATGGTCTTGGACCCACATAGATTTAGTCCATTCGAATAAATAATGTGTTATAAGATACAGAACTCAGATATCGAACTGGAGAACACTTTATATGTGAAGACCAGCAGCTGAACTTCCACAGTACGACCAAAGAGCAGAGGTCTGGCCTCCAGGTCCAGTCCATGGAAAGATGTTCATAGCTCTCATTTCAAAAAGGGGGGGCAGTGCTAGTAAATGCATCCAGGGCAGAAAGCAGAGAAGGGGCCTGAGTAGGCATCACCAACCAGCATGGGAAACATTAGCTCTGTTCTAAGGATGTTTCTGAACTTTTGACCAGAAAACTACACCAGTATAGCCAGGTACAGAGATTTATTCAGAGGTGGACGAGTTTTCATGTGGCCCAGTGTGGCAGTGGAGACAAGGCACCAGAGACGGAAGCCTGGAAAAAATGCAAAATCTCTGCAGCAAAGCAGATAGTTATTCATGCAGTCAAGTTTCCAGCACCATGGTAAATTACTGCTCTCATTACCCAAAGTACGTCATGTGTTTGGCTTATTATAGGAAAACCAAAGTATACATTGATATTCAGTTATCATAAATTTGCACTTTTGTGGGCGTCACAAAACACATAAAGTTGGTTTCCAAGCAACAATTCCCAGGCAGACAAATGGATTTTAAAACGCTCACATTTATTTTCGAAATGTTTACGTAAATGCCTCCTGTTGACAGTAACATTAAACACGAATAGTAAACACTGAACACCGTAAACACACGGGGGAAAAGCCTTAATAACTGCCCTCAGGGCATCACCGGCATATTGCTTGCTTGTGTCAATTTAAAAGTTTACATTATTTATACTGTCTACAGGGAAGACTATTTACTAGCATGCTGCCACTTGGTGTCAAAGAGTGGCAACTACAATGACCAATAAAAGCGTGCGCTCATTTTCGAGCACCAAAAGATAGGCATATCAAAGTGTATGAAAACACAGAATCTTAGAGCATTAAGTGAAACACTAGAAATCCAACGTCTTTCTCAAAGCAGGTCAGAAAGTAGCTGAGCATTTTAGAAACCGTCTTGGCGTTTATTACCTTCAGCTCAGGCGTGAAAGGGTTACCTACACCTCCCGTTTCACTTGTAATTGCCTAAGCATGTGCTGCACCCACTAGCCACAACACCACACCCCTGCTGAGGAAACTGTGCCACAAAGCTTCGCAATTGAGAGCTAGCGTAATCACTTTCTATTACATTCTTCCTTCCTTCTTAATTTTTAACTTTTAATTGGCAGAAAAACAATCTTAAGCAGTTTAAATGAAACATAAATCTCTAAATTGTTTAAAATTCTGGTTTATTTTTTAAAGACATTTTCTAAAACAGAAACATAACAACCGGGCCATAAAAACTCAATAGTACATCATACAAAGCGCCCTGGTAAAAATAAGGGTTCTATATCTATAAGAGACTAGCTGCATCATAAAATAGGCCTACTAATAATTTTCTTCAGCTTCTGCGCAGTGCTCGTTTGGATCTCATACATTAAAACTGAAACGCTGCCGCTGCACCTGTAGGAGACCCTCGCCACAGATAAACGCCCACAGAAAACATTAAAATTTACTACCACAGCTATCGTGTCGCATTAATACGGTTAATAATTACTGATACCACTTGCACACCTGTTCACTGTAAACAGACACGACGAAACAAAGCGCGCTGACCTGATGCTCCGCTATAGCTAGTAGGATCCAAAAACTCCCCGTTAAGCCGGAAGACCTTACAGTTTTGCAGATAGTTTTTTTCGACCAACAACGCCGTAAAGTACAATGCGATCAAAGCCATAACACCCATCCTAGAACAATTTATCAGGGCAAGCGCACTTGCATCACCCGATTTTTATTTGTTTTATTTCTTTTTGATGTAAACGGTTCATTTTTATTGAACAAATAACCAAAATTCAATTAATGTACATACATTAGGTTGGTATCCTAACTTAAATCATACTTGCATATATAATAAAAAAAATGTCATGTGTTTTATAACTGCTTTCCTGTTCTTCATTTTACCAATTGTGTTGCCCTAGTCCTTTAACTCATGAAAAAATGAACAAAATTCGATTCAAAATTTGACCAATTATGTATTTAAAACTTCTCTAGTGCAACTACAGTCAGAAGTTGAACAAAAAAAAACATTCCTGTCCAATGCTGTTGAAAAGTACTACAAAATGTTAACATTGCTTAACACTACGTAACAAACAATCTTGTCTTATAAAAATTTTCAACATCCATCAAAATTATTTTCACAGTCATTAAAAAAGACAAATAATTATTTCCGTCACTAAACCACAAAATTCACAAGCATCATCCGGCTTTTTAACCCTCTGCGTTGTGTCGTCATCACGTCGTCGACACGCTCGCCAGAGACGCAATACACGTGCGACGCGCGACAGGGCCGCTGCGGTTGCAAAATACTACAGCCAATCAGAGCACCGGACGGGAATAACTCCCCGCATTTTTACGTAATCCGACCAATAAAATAATTATCGTTTGATTAAGAATTGCTCCGGCGAGTCGCGTCTTTTAACGTCTGGTGTTTTTGAGAAAAAGGAAGTATTTTGTGCTGCGAACGGAAAGCTTTCGCATTACCGATAAGTAAATAGCACGGTGCGCTTTCTTAATCAGCATCCAACTATAAAGGTATGTGCAATAGGTGTCTAGTGAGCGAATAATTTGTAAAGAGGATGAAAATAATGCTTAAAAGATGTTGGGGGAATGGTGGGCTGCCTATAAATTACAACAGGTTTTATTAGATATGTAAATACAGTACAGGAAACATCCGTTTATGTCGCTCATTAGTTAATTAAATAGCGATTGCTTTATCCCCCTGTTCAGGCTGGTCTGCAGTCAGTCATTTGGCTGCTGCTGGGTGCTAGGTACGTAACTGCATCACATTTGAAATATTTTGACGTTTTTGAAACTCAGATTTTTTTTTTCTAGCAGCTGCGTTTAGCGTAATGGTACAGTAAGGCGACCCAACCCTCTCAGCTGCATACCCTGCATGCTGTTCTACTTTGTAGACGTTTGCCTCGGTACCGTCTGCACGATTAATCCGTTTCATTTTTCTATACGTGAGCAGTTTTTAAATATGTCACCGGCAGGTTTGTTTTCTCCTTGATGAAGTTTCCGAAGCTGTAGATCATTATAATAGACTGGATCCATGTCTTTTCTGGTAAGCTACATTTTTTTTGCTTGCAGAATATCTATGAACCATTCTGGTCAATTAATCAAAAATCATAATTTTCATGAACCTTTGTTAATAATAATAATAATAATAATAATAATAATAATAATAATTTTTTCCCCAGCAGCCATCAAATGCTACAATAAGTGTCCCCCAGACCCCTCTCCCCTCTAGAATAGTATTGTATTTAAATGTTGCACACTTTATTCTGCACATTGCAATTTAGTTTTGTACAGTGTCTTTTGTACATGTACAGTGGTGTCACTTTTTGTGTGTACTGCTGTAACTTGGAATTTCCTTCGGGATCAATGAAGTACTACTACTATTATACTACCACTACTATTATTAATAATAATAGTAATAATAATAACTGGGATTACTTTGAATTATTTTATTATCCTATGTGAAGAGAGGTTCGTAAATCTGACCTCATTCAGCACCTGCACTGCACTGTATGCATTTGTTTATTTTTGGGTTGGGGAGGACCGTTATGTGGGGCTTTATTTTTGTCATGCTGTGGGACAGAAACCCCTCCATCACCAATCATAAGTAAAGTTCTGACTTCTGTAATGTTGTACGTAAAAGTGACACCAGACAGGTAATCAGTTGTTTGAGAATATTAAAAAAAAGCACATACTTTCTCTCTGTCTCTCTCCCCCCCCCCTTTCTTTCCCACCTCAGCGCTGGGTCTCCGAGAAGCTGAGCGTGGAGAGCCTGAGGGATCTGGAGTTATTCGGAGGTGAGTTCGCCGGCACTCGGCCGAGGTCCCAAGCTGCGCGCTCCCTCATTGGCTCAGTGCTGGCTTTCGCCAAGGTGCCCGGCTACTGACGCGCCACATTGCGGCTTTTCTTAATCAGTCGTCTTGCGCTTACAGTAGCCCCGCCCCGTGTGAGTTAACAGATGTGACACGGCGGTGTCGATGTCGGTTCTGTATGCCATGTGGATTTAGAGAAGCAAAACCTGGGTGCTGTCGTTTGTGTTCAGTGTCAGCTTTGTTTTCGGAAGTGTCCTTTTTTTCCTCTCTCTCGTCGTGCAGTGTGGCGATTTAATGCCATTCGAGACCGTTTCTTTTTTGTGTCATCTGAAATACTGCATGTTGTC